TGATTGGACTGGAGGCACCAGGAAATGAGACATCTATTCCTGGAAACCTGTCCTTGGGTGGTTGAACTGTGACCCAGGCTGTGAATCCATTTGCTAAGTTGAATTTGCGCAGGTTCTGAATTTGCGTGGGCTATGATGTATGTAACAGCCAATAAGGCCTATATATTCCCTGACTTTGCTTTGGTCGGGGTCTTGCCTGAACCCTCCGTCCTGCGTGTCCGGCAGGAGATGGCTTGACCCTGGCTAGCCAGCCCAATAAACTCTACTTTGTGAATTGCATTCTTGTGTGACGCTCTGTCTTTCGCAGTAATGGAGTTCTCGGACCCTAACACATGTTGCCATGGAGATAAGAAAAAATATTCCTGTAAATAAAAGATGGCCAACAATATTGGCTGATGACAGGTCATGTAAGATGAGTTCTGAAAAGGCCTACTGGGTTTAATCACATGGAAATATTTGGTCACCTTAATAGAGAAGTAAAGATCATGGACAGTGTGGGAGGAATTCAAATTACAGTCCATTGCATAGTAAATGGATGATATGAGAAAAAGAAAAACCCTCCTTCAAGAAATGGGGTTAAGGGGAGATGGAGAGAGAGAGATAGAGAGAGAAGTACATATAGGTATAAGAGTTTTGAGCCTGAGAGAGAGGTTGGAAATTTTTTTAAATATATATTTTTTACATCAGTTTTAATTTTGAGATGAATTTATTTAAATACAAAGGGAAAGTTGTACTTATAAGAAAATACTGAACATGCAGAAGGAAGACAGAATAGTGCAAATGCAAGATTTCCCAGAAGGTAGGAGAGGAAGGGAGTTCAGAAATCTTGTGGTGGTGTTCACTCAGAAAAATGAAGGTGAGAAGGAGGAATGGATGAATATAGTAGCATTGGGACTGGAGTGAAACAGCTGAGGTACCCACCTTAGGCATAAAATTTAAGAAGATACCAAAAAAATCCCAATAGTGAATATAACATTATTTTAGCAATAATCTCAATAATAATAATGCAAAAAAAAAACATGATGAAAAAATAGCAAAATTTTAAACAAATACAAGATCAGCTATGGGCAATTTAGTGGTGATAAAGTGGTTTTCTTCAGAAGCTTTCAATCTTTGTGAAGCAGGAGGGAGGTTGACTGGTGAGGACAGGTAGGGAAGCAGAGTAGAGGCTGGAGGTGAGAGCAGAGGTAGACATTGTGGAGAGGGAAGGCAAAGAAAAATACAGTAGGGATGATAGGGCAGATTTGCACCTACTTGTACATTGACCTACTTGTGTGAGCTCAAAAGCACTGGAACACAGAGCAAGCACGGAGAAGGAAGACAGATTTATTATCATCCAAGTTCTATCAAGGAAAGAAATTTAGGATATTGGCAAGATAGTTAGTTATAAGAATGGTCCATACTTTTAGTTGGTAAAATAGGAAGTCAAAACATGAGAAATAAGATAAATTAATTGTAAATTTAAAGCTCTAAAATAGAATGTAAATGTCGCATATTATGGGCTGGATTGCAAATTACCAAAACTCATACACGGAAGTTCTAATTTCCAGTACTTCAAAATGTGACTATGCTTGGAGATAGGACTCTTTAAAGAGATAATATGATTAAATGAGGTCATTAGTGCAGGCTTAATCCAACATGACTGGTGGAAATCTGGACACAGACAGTTACAGAGGAGTCAGTTTATACCACATGTAGTACAGGGAGAAGATGGCCATCTAAGCTATGGAACGACCTTGGAAGAAATCAATCTTGAAGACAGCTTGATTATGGACTTCTACCCTTCAGAGTTATGACAAAATAAAATGCCTGTCGTTTAAATAATCTGTTCTGGGATATTTTGTTATGGCAGCCCCAGCGAACTACAGTACTATATAACTTAATAAGGAAAGCTCAGATAGAAAAATTTAGGATGGAGGTCTCACAAGGTCAGACACCAGAGATAAGGACTTAAAACTAACCAGGCTATGGTCATTTTCAGGAATCTGAGGGAGAGTCAGAAAAGACTATCAGCCAGAATTGGGGGGCAGCAAGGAAGATCAACCAAATCTGACTCCAAGATGATAATTTCCACAATAATTTCATCAAAGAACACTACAAAGAAACACCCCTTGCTTTGACAAAAGTCAGCTCTCCTAGCCACTGTGTCTATGCAGACGCTTCTTTTCTTAGACTTCTAAAAAATGCAGCTCTGGTCTTTTACATTAGTCTGTCTGTGTCTTTGCAGACATCTCTTTCTTTCTTTCTTTCTTTTTTTTGTTTGTTTGTTTGTTTTTTCCTTTCCTTGATAAACTTGCTGTGTGCTGATAAAGGAGAACATCTCCTGAATTTTCTTAGAGGCATCCAAGCCCAAGAACCCTGCACACCAAACCCCATCATCTGGAACCCAACATAATAATGTAGAAATAATAATGTAACTTCATACCTCATTAACTACCACCTTTTCTCATGAACCAGACCAAAAAAGGGAAATTACAATCCAGATGATGACAACAGACTTTCAAAGCCACATTAGGTACATGAAGGAAATTAAATCATATATTTTCAATATTGAAAGAAAAGGCATTGGTATCTGCAGAAAACATTGTAATAAATACATAAGTTTTATATGCAATGCATATGAGATCAGCACATATACCATTATGATTAACATGTTACCAATACTCCTGGCCAATGTAACAAGAAAAAGCTATAAGCTCTGTAAGGGCAGGAAAGGTAAAACTAAAACATTTGCACAAATATGGTATCTACCTTGGAAATAAACCAAGAAAATAGAAAAAACTATCAAAATTTGTAAATGCAGGAATTTAAAAAGTCTGGCAGGTTTTTCCTTACCGCAAATTACCCATATAAATTAAAAACATAGTATATCATGCACAATAATACAAGCTAATATGCCATTGATAATAGCAACTAAAACTAAGTTTCTAGGAATTAACCAAGAATGTAAAAGACATTAATGGAGAAAATTATCAAAATTTGAAGACATAAAAGATGATCTGAAAAAAGTTTACTTTTTTACATCCTTTTAAATAGGATGACTCAAAATTCAAATTCTTAGTGAATTTAGTTTTAATCACAATTTTTTAATCTCAAATTTCTATAAATTTTATCCAAGAATGTGTGTGAAAAACAAAAAATTCATAAATAGACAAGTTAGTCATAAAATCAGTGAGTAAAGAGGAAGAACTTGGTTTGTAAGATATTTAGACAAATTAATTGCAGATACCAGCAACGAACACAAAATGGTTTGGGTGTAAGAACTGATACTACAGACCAATATATTAGAACAGGGTGCCCAGCTACACACCTAACACATAAAACCAACATACATGCGACTAAGAAGCATCAGGGATCCTATCTATTTAAAACAAAGAGCTGTCAACTCTATAAAGGTGATTTAGTGGCACCTAGAATGGCTTACAAACCCTGGTATCTAACAAATACACAGATATTTATTACTTACTTGGGACTGATCCAGGGACACCTTAGCTGAAGGGCACACAGGAAATTTTACCACTAGAGAGAATAAGAAAACAAGCAATTCTAAAATTTCTTTTTGAGACTGTGCCAAAAATGAAACATGATGTCTGGTGTCTGTTAGTGTCAAACTAGACACGTTTTTCCTTAGGCAGAGGCACTAATATCAACCTCCATATTATGTAGCAAGTGACAAGCACAACCAACATTTAAAACATTTCGGTGTCCGACACAAATGAAAAGAAACTATGGAACACTAGGCATTTCTCCAACACTCCAGGGGACTTCTCAGTTCAGGGCCTTCTGATGCTCGAAATTCTCTTCCCCCAAATATTGTTGCTCTCTCCCCTCCTTAGAGGTCTTTGCACAAATAGCACACCATCAGAGAAGCCCTCAGTAACCACTCTATTTAAAAGCTGCAATTCCCTTCCTCCTATGGTCATCTCCCCTCACCCCCTTACTTGCTTACTTTTTTCCTCCTTGCAACAACTGTTTTGTGTTTCTTGTTTGCATCCCATTTCTTGAATGTAGTCTCCATTAAGGCACACTATTTTTTCTTTATGGCCAATGTTCATCCCTGGCATACAGAAGGTGCTCCATAAATATTTGTTGGCTATTGTATTTTAGAATTCCCCTTGACACAGGTAACAGTACTAAATAAAGTATGCATCATTTTCAGAGCAAATGCTCTGGTGAATCTTCTTGACCTGAGTGGAGACACATGTATTAAACCTGAAAGTTCAAGTGGAAAAATCTGTAACTCGCCCTTCCTAATGTTTTTGTATTTGGGAGTCTGGTAGTGTTCATTGAGTCATTTGAGGAAAAATATATTATCTTCTAAGGAAAAGAGAGATGAGATGTCCAGTTCTTCTAAATTTCTCTGCAATTGTGTGTCAAGTCTCAAAAGTCACATTATTTGAACTGAACAAATACTAACAAAAAGGGATTATCAATTCGGGAGTTATGCCATACACATCTTGATAACTTCCGTGACTTTAAACCTTGAAAATGGACGTCTTAGTCCCTTTAAGAAACTCTGAAATATTTTGCTACGGCATTTCTCCCTTCTCTGTGGTGCCCCCTCGTTGTTTACTCCTGTAGTATCCTAAACACATTAGCGTCTAGCGCCAAGACCTCCGCAGCTACGCAGCCCGGCGACTGCAATCGCATTTCGTTCCCGCGCGCGCCTCGGCTCCCCTTCATTTTCCCTCCCCTAGTGGCCAGACGCACTGGCGTTCCGCGCGCACCTCTCACCGCGCATGCGCAGCGTGTAGACGCCACACGTTCCCGGAAGTGGGTGGTGTCCTCTGGAGTTTGTGTGGCCGCCGCCGCGGGAACGCGAGAGCCCGGTAATTTTTCAAGGAAGAAAAGACGAAGCTTTTGGGCTTGTCTCAGAGTGAGTGAGCGTTGGGCGCCAGCAAGTGCCTGTATACCTGACACCTGGCATGGAGGATGGGCAGAGCCAACAGCCTGACGGAGAGGCCGTGGCTCCCGCGCGACTGCGGACGCCGCTTTCGGAGGGTGGGGAGGAGTCGCAGCCTCAGAATCCTGAGGTGAGGAGACCGCCTGAGCTCCGCTGTCGGTGCTCGCCGCGCCTGTCACCCGGGTGCCCCCTTCTTTCAGGGTATTGCCTCGAATCCTCACTCTGCGTGACTTTGACCCCAACCCCGATCCCAGCTTTCCCTGGCCCCCAGCTCCGGCAGCCTTTACTTGGCGTGCTTGTCCTTGAGCTCCCTCGGGATGAGAGTAAATAATAAAAGAAATGTGTGGCTGTGGCTTTGTAAGTTCGGAATGGGAATTCAGCCCTCCACTTTTCTTTGTGCGCTGTGGCTAGAGCCAAGCTAGCCCTCACCTAGAATTGGTGGGTTATGCCCTTTTTTTTTTCTTTAATCGCACCATATGCCTTAGGTTTGTCCCTTCATACTATCTTTAAGCCCGTTGCCTCCCAACAGGCGATTGGGCCTATTACGTGGAGCTTGATTTTTGCCCACTTACTAGTCACTGATGTTCTGAAGGGTTTTTGTTTTGTTTTGTTTTGACAGCACACTGGTAGATCATAGTTAGCGAGAAAAAAGTTGTTTAAAAAAAAAAAAAAAAGAAGGGTCCTAAAGCTTCTTCATCCTATTTGACTAATGTAACTGTGGGCCAGAGCTGTGAATTGTCAGTAATACCAATATTGGTCATTTTTTGTTAGTAACAGGTATTGATTACCTTTCAGAAAGTTTCCTAGCTTTCTTCCATCTCCAGTCAGTTTCTCTCCACAGCAGTTTGGTCTGGAATAAGACTGAGCTATTCCTTGCCTTCAGATTGCTGTCCACCGCCCTGGATCCTGTTTCTATTGTAATTGCATCTCACAATGCCCCTGGTCCGCTGGCCTCCTTAGTGCTTTTAGGATGGCTCGTCATTCTTGTTAAGGGTCTTTATATTCTCCTTTTGCCCTGAATTTTTTTCTGGGTCTCTGCAGTTTCCCTTAATACAACACTTTAAATAATATCCTTCCAGTGTCCCTTTTTACTAAAGAACAGTCTACTACCTCATCTCCCCCTTCAACCTGAGAAACTGTCAATAGCATTATCATGTCAGTCAGTTTCAAAAGTTTTTTACAGTTTATCTTTAATAAGTGAAATCTGGTTATACTTTATTATAGTTGAAAGTCTTAAAACTTTGAAATATGTGGCAACTTAAGGCCTGTCTAGCTTCCCAATTGCTTTTAATTTAAGCATCCTTAAATTAATGAGTTTTTTCAGTCTCAAATAAAATTTTTTGTTGGAATTCTAAATTTCCATCCCTAATGTCAGTAGTTTTTTATAAAAAATACTTTTTTTAATGAAACAACAAATTGTATCCATTCAGAAAGTTCTGAATTCATCATTATAGAAAAGGAAAAAAACAGTTTTGGAGTACCTGTCTGTAACCCAAGATACATAGTTTTAAGTTCAACAGTGCTTTTAAGTACTTTGCCACACAGGTTCTGGCTCATATTTCTGTTGCTAACTGCATCTCACAGTAAATCTTTGTTTGGTACTTACGATTTTCTGTAGTCATTTACCATTATGTAAAGATTCTCTTATTTGGATAATATATACAGATCATGCAAACACGAAAAGTGAGAAAATGTCACACAAGTATTTCTTTCCTTACTGTGGAATCTGGCCAGTACTGTGTGTGACATGTGACAAATGACACATAGAAATGCGTGTCCATCACTGTACTATTAATAAACTAATTTTATGGTTTTGTAGGTTAATACATGCAGGGCTTTTAGTATTTTCTTCCTGCTCCTTTGTGTATTGACTTGAGCATTCCTTGGAAACCATTAATGTAGACCTGACATTTGGAAAGACACTTTTTGGTCACTGAGAATGGGACGTTGACTGTAATTCAAACTTGATTGAAAGAAGAGACTAGAGTTGAACCTTGAGAGGAAGCAGATCTTGCTTTCTAGAAATCATTCTTTATAGCCTTCCTGGCAGAGTCCAAGAGTTTCTCGTGGATAATTTTTGTAGCCACAGTTTTAGATAAGAATTAAGGAAGTGAATCAAAGAGAAAATTTAATCAAGGTGAAAGTTTGCTTAAATTCACTAAAATATCTGTTTTGGTAGATAAACTTATTCATTGTTAGCCTAATTTTGTCTTCTATCAAAGATGAAATTTAAACTTCACAATAAGTTCAGAGACAAAGGATATATTATCCTGATTAAATTGGAATGATAAAGTAACAGGTATCAGAAATTTAAAATGTTTTGGAAAGCTGATTGTTTTCTTTGCCATAGGTCAGTGTAATAAAGTTTATACATTTGTCATCACAAAACACCAATATAAAAGTTATTCCTTAATTTATGAACAGTTCACACTTTGAAATTACGGACCTCATCCTGAAAGCAGATAGAAATAATTCTTGAGTATTTAAGCATAGCATTACTTTTCCAGTAAAGATGTGTTGTATTAAATCAAGACCTGAAAGTAGAAAAAAGTCCCTGAATCATCAGGATTAGTTTTAATTCAGGAACTGAATCAGGGATTATGGGCCTATGTGTTCTTCCCTTTTTTTTTTTTTTTTTAACATTTATGTTGTTTATTTATGCACACAAGAACTGGGGTCTAGGCCAGAGATTCATTTGGCAAGAGGATTCACCAGAGACAGAGTGGGGAGCAGAATAGGTGGATTGACAGGTGGTACATTGCTGAGGGTAGCAGTGGGTAAAACTGGAGAGGTCTGCTGTGCCATGTGGGTTAGATCCTTGGTGGGGCATCTAACTTGTGTAGCAGTGAGTGGCAACAGCTTGGTAGTAATGAGACTTTAACCCCCTGGTCCACCAGGGAGGCCCTGATTATCCCTTCTTAATCTGTAATTGTAGTCCACAAGGGGATAGTGAAGCAGATTATGACTGAATTAACAAACTTTCATATGGATTATTAGCAAGTACTGAACTATTTTGGGAATTCTGGAACATTTCTAAATTTTATAAAATTGCATGTGGAACATTTGGTAATTCCTACTACTTGTGGAATGATCAGAATCAGGTCACGTTTTTAACAGCAGTTTTGATTTTTGAAAAGAAAAACAGTTTATAATAATTTTCGTTCACCTGAATAATTAGTACATATGTATCTTTTGTATTTTGAAGCTGAACATATTTCCTTCTTTCCTTTGCATACAAGGAAGTTTTTAACTAGTCCATTTTGTTTTTATATTGGACATTTTCTGTTAACTTTGTGAAATACAATCAGGTTAAAAATCCTCAGAAGTCACTGATATATAGCGTACTTAAATGTTGCAAAAGTTTATTTAAAATTGATTTGTCATTTTCAGAATATTGTTAGTGAAAAGATTTGTTCTGCAGTATGTGATTACAAGTAATTATTAATAGCTACAGTGGCTTTGTTATTAGGAGCCTGGTATGCATAACCTCATTTAATTCTTAGACTAGTCTTGCCCAGGGGCTTCCCCGTGGAACAGCACTTAAAGTCTCAGCACTAACAAGCTATCACCAGTCATTGAGGCAAGAGTTCTAACCCTCCCCCACACGCCCCCCACCAGGGAGCTGACCCACATGGCCAGCCATGCAGACCTCTCCTGTCTTGTCTGCTGCTCCCCTCAGCAGTGCATTTTAGTCACTCTGCCTGTTCTGCTCCCCACTCTGTCTCTGGTGAATCCTTTCATTCCCCCCAACCCCCTCCCACCTCTGGCCTACACCCTAATTCTTGTATGCATAAATAAATAAAAATAAAAAACTTAAAATAAAAAAAAAATAGACTTTCCCAAATTTTATTTACCATTACCAACTATAAGTTGAGATAATTATTATTTTACTTTATTTTATAGATAAGGAAACTGAAGATCAAAAGCTAGTAAGTACCTAACTAGGACCATGCTGCTAGTAAATGGATATTTGGAGCTCTGTGCTGTGGTGGTTGTGATTCCAGCATCAGTTTTTTTACTTAGCATCATTGCCTTTAGGGAACTTCATTACTCTTAGGAGAGCAACGTAAATTGTATTGGAAACATGACTTCCTATACTTAGTCTCTCAGCAGCTGTACTAGGCACTATTCATTAAAAATGTAACATGAAGATGCCTTAGGAATTTGAATCCTGAAGATGTTTAAACTAATATTAAACTGTGCTTTGTTTTTTGTGTTTTTTTTTTTTGGTAGAAAAAGCAGCGATGTAGGTTTGATGGCCAAGATACAAAAGGATCCAAGTTCATTACCTCCAGTACAAGTGATTTCAGTGACCCAGTTTACAAAGAGATTGCTATCACGAATGGTTGCATTAATAGGATGAGTAAGGAGGAACTCAGAGCTAAACTTTCAGAGTTCAAGCTTGAAACCAGGTAATTAAAAATTAACACTTTACAATTATGTAATTCTTTCTAGAAAATCTTGAAAACATTGAACATATAAAAGTAATCCATAATCTTACCATAAAGAAATAACCATTACCATAATTTCAAATAACATTGTCATTTAAGTTTTTATGAATCTCTGTATGAGATTGTTTGTGTACAACTCTTAGTATTTACATCAGCATTTTAGATGATCAGACTAAGAAACTTAATTCAAAGTCTAAGAATATATTGATGATATACTAACAATGTATAGAAGTTTGTGGCTTACATATCAAATGTGTTTTAAATTTTTTTTAATTGTTCATTTGATTCCTGGAAAATTACATCTTGTTTTATTGAGAGTAAATAACATCTTTTTCATTTTGTCCACGAATTTTCTTTATTTTTAATAGAGATTTCCTTTGAAACCAGGCAATTTTAAGAAATCACCTACCAGAAAATATATTTTTTATGTTTTAGTTTAGTAAAAATACACATAACGATACTGTGCTTTGTTTAAATGTATATTGAATGAGAAAACAGTGCAGCTTAGCCAGCTCTGTTTGTCTTAAGTATTTTTAATGAAATGCATACATAAAGTTTTAATAGTTTTTTTTAAAAGATTTATTTATTTATTTATGCTTACAGAACTGGGGTACAGGTCAGAGGTGGTAGGTGAGAGGATTCACCAGAGACAGTGTGAGGAGCAGAACAGGCAGATTGACAAACTACACTGCTGAGGGGAGCAGCGGGCAGGTCAGAGGAGGTCTGCCACACCATGTTGGTCAGCTCTCTGGCTCGAGAAAGACCAGAGAGGACTAGTCTGGATAGTAAGCAATGAGAATTTTTTTTTTTAAAGATTTATTTATTTATTCATATGGAACTGGGGTACAGGCCAGAGATGTGGAGGGTGAGAGGATTCACCAGAGACAGAGAGGGGAGCAGAACAGGCAGATCGACGAAGTACACTGCAGAGGGGAGCAGCGGGTGGGTCAGGAGAGGTCTGCCATGCCATGTGGATCTCCTCCGGGGAAGGAGGAGATCGAACTCATGCGGAAGTGGCTTTAGCTTCTCAGTGCTGTGCTTTAACCCGCTGCACACCAGGGAGAGCCCGGAACTTAACTTTTTTTTAAAAAAAGCTTACATGTGTAACTTTTCCCTTTTAGATTGTCTGGGTCATTATTGTAAGGAAATTTTTTACCTCATATCTCTGTGACTCTTATGAAAGTGCAAACTTGAGCAAAACTTTTGCCCTTCTGAGGTACAAGAATCAGTACTTCTACCCGACATGCACTGGAGCTAGAGATCTAGGTGTGTGTTTATACCTTCATTCAGCAAGCACTTGTTTATTTCTTTTTATAGATTTATTCATTTATGCATACAAGAACTAAGGTGTAGGCCAGAGGTGTGGGAAGGAGAGGATTTACCAGAGACAGAGTGGGGAACAGAACAGGTAGCTCTACTGAAATACTCTGCTGAGGGGAGATAGGAGAGGTCTGCTGCATCATGTGGGTCAGCTTCCTGGCTGGGGATTGAACTCATGTTTCAGTGATAGCTTGACAGTGCTGAATCTTTAAACCCTGCGCCACCAGGGAGGCCACACTTGGTTATTTTTAAGCACTTTAATAACCATTGAAGTCACAAATGTAAAACAGATATGTTCCCCTTTTTGGGGAAGTTCATAGTCTCTTGGGAAAACATATACTATCTCAGTACAGAGTGATTAGTGCTCCATTGGAGGTCTGTCCAGGTACAGCACAACAATACATAAAAATTAAGGACCTCCAGGTATGGCACTTGAATTTTGTGGGCCAAACAGTAAGGAAGGTATTGTAAATGCAACTCAGTACACGCTCTGACTTTTTTTCCCCCCAGCTTTTGTGCGAGTTATAGAACATGAATTTGTACCACATACCAAGCAATGACTATGTTATGGCTTTTCTGCCATATGCCACATGCCGTAGGGAATAGGAATATTTGAAAATGGCACTAAAATTATAGATGATTGCCAACTCGTGAAGGAACGCAGTATTAAAATCTGCATTTTACTTTGTAAGCAGAAAGAAACCTGTGAAGGTAGTTCAGCAGGAAATTGGCATTAGTGTTTAATTCCTAAAGTGAAGACTAAATAGGAGGATTGTGATAGTGAAGTGCCATTGTCCAAGAAGGTAATACCAGAGAGAATATGCCAGAGATATTTAAGGAGAATCAGGTTCTGAATTTGAATTGACAGAAATGGTGGTTATTTAGATATGAATGGGCAAGGGAGAGGACAAGTGCTTCTGGAGCAACAGGTGTGTTGTGTTGCCTCTGTGCTTACAGGTAATCCTTTAGTGAATGTAGTTTCTCAAAGAAAAAAAGGAATAAAGACAGAGTAATTTAACATTGTCAGATGACATAGTCACTCACAGTACCTTAATGTGAAAGGAGTTAATAGAAGCTAAAATTCCCAGAATGCCTTGTTACATTTTAATTATGACTAAGGTCTTATTTTTATTATCATTTTGTATTTGCAAATCATAATAGGACTCAAGCAACACCCAAACAAGTCCTAGTACCAGTTGTACCTTTTAATTTTTGAAGAAACATAATGTATGAAGCACATAACTGCCATTATCAACCACTGTTAACTATTTAAAACAACCTTTTCCCTACCACTACCTCCTATTTGTGGAACATATATTTGGAAAATGTGTATAATATACCAAATCTTATTCTACTCAAGGTAAATTAAGAAACCTTCCAATTAAAGACCTACTGAGTATTAAAAGTATTCTTGTAGAAATGGTTTCACTCATCTTCTATGTTAGTTTTTCTAATTAGGGAGTTAATAAGCATCCACATTTTAAAAAAGGATTTATTTATGCATATAAGAGCTGGGGTATAGGCCAGAGGTGTATGTGTGGGATTGGGAGGCAGGAGAGGTGTGGATGAGTGGATTTACCAGAGACAGAGTGGGGAGCAGAACAGGCAGACTGATGAAATACACTGCTGAGGGGAGCAGTGGGTGAGACAGAAGAGGTCTGCTGAGCCAAGTGGGTCACCTCTCTGTGAGGCATCAAAGTCAGGCTGCAGTGTCTGCTGATAGCTTGATAGAGCTGAGATTTAACTCCTTGAGCCATCAGGGAGGCCCTAGGCATTCAGCTTTTATGTTTAATGCTTTCATAGTTACAGGGTTTTGTTGAGCTTTCTGACCTTTAGAAGCCAAAAGAAAGGAAAGGCAAAGCATAGCGTGATGTGTTCAGTTTAACTGAATTTTCATACTCTGAAATTTGTATTTGACCGTAATTCATCGTTAATTTCAGTTTTTATATCCTGTATGTCATCTTATTAAATAAGGTAATAATGGCTGTGTAGGTGGTATATGTTGACAAGACCAGTATGTATTGGAGAAAATGCTATTGTATGCTATAAAGATGAAAAGTTACTTGCAGAGGAAAATACTGATATTTTGTTAAGTATATTTCTTAATTAGTTTTTTGCTGAATTAGCTTTGACTCTTGCTTTCTTTGCATTTATTTTGGCTAATATTTGTTAAATTGTATTATGACCATCTTTGTTTAAGCCAGTACAAGTTAAGATTTTTGACTGCAGAATTCACCTATAAGTTAATTTTGTTCTCATTTTCCTTAGAGGAGTAAAGGATGTACTAAAGAAAAGGTTGAAAAACTATTACAAGAAGCAGAAACTGATGGTGAAAGATGACAGTTGTTGTGACAGTTACTATGACTATATTTGTATCATTGACTTTGAAGCCACTTGTGAAGAAGGGAACCCACCTGAATTCATCCATGAAATAATTGAATTTCCTGTTGTTTTGCTGAATACTCATACCTTAGAAATAGTAAGTAAATTGTTATACTTTAATTTTATTTTTATCTGCAGTTTCTGGGATTCACCAGAAAGGCAGAGAATCTCACTGTGGTTTTAGCTAGAATTAGCATTCTAAAGTGGGTTTTTGCTCTCGCTGTGTGCTTTGTTTCAGCTTAATTTTTTTTTAAGTTTATTTATTTATGCATACAAGAACTAGGGTACAGGCCAGAGGTGTAGAGGGTGAGAGGATTCACCAGAGACAGAATGGGGAGCAGGACAGCCAGATCTACTGAAACACACTGCTGAGGGGAGCAGCAGGCGGGTCAGAAGAGGTCTCTTACACCATGTGAACAGCTCCCTGGCTGGGGATCAAACTCTGAACTTGTGCTGCATGGCTGCAAACAACTTCATAGTGTTGTGCTTTAACCTCTTGCACCACCAGGGAGTTTGATTGTTTCAGCTTGATTAATAGAAAAAGTCTAATAAAATCACTTCATAGTCTATTCATTTTCCAGTAGCCAAAATTATGCAGTATCTCTTTTTTTCTTTTTCTTTGCTCTGAACATATACCTAGCTATACATTAGAATTTCTTGGGGAGTACACAAAGCAAAAACAAAATAGCCAGAGGCCTGATCCTAGTCTAAGAGTTTCTGAATTGTTTGTCAAAGTGGGGCCCTTGGCATCAGCTTTTTAACAAAACTTTCCAACTGATTGGTAGTTAAGAACCACGGCTGCAAAAATAATAAAAATAATCTCTAAAAATAATAAATTTCAAAAACCACCTTTCAACTAACAACTACCTTTCTTCCTAATGAAAAGTTTACGAGATAGTGACTCTTCAAACCTTAGCTTCTAAATCTTATGATATATGTGTTTTAGGGGGTTAATACATTATTAATTCAGAAAGTCTCATTTGCTTTGTAAAATTTGACATGTCAGTAACTTCTGTGGTTTCCCTTGTTATACGCACGTGGAGTAAATATTATGGGAGTAAGTATTAAGTGGTTTGTGTTCTAAAATGCATAATTTTTTCCCTTATGGCTAGTCAAAGCCTGAATCATTCTGTTTACATAATTTCATTTTTCAAAGCAGATTAGAGGTTAATAAATAAAAAAAAAACTATGAAGGTAAATAATATTGCGTATCACTGTAGATTCCACTGCTCTAGCAACTCCCTTTTCTCATTTACACATTAATGATTTATTGCTGCTTACTACATTCCTGTCACATCCAGACAAGTTATTTTTACCATAAAAAGCCTCCACTCAATCCCATTTATGTCATTTCTTTGTTCTTTCACAGAAAATTTCTTTAAAGAAGTTATGTGGACTTATGTTTCCTCCTATTCTCTCTCAACTGACACCACTGGGTTTAAATCCCATCATTCCATTAAAATCCCTTACAGTGTCATCTTTCACCTGTACCTAAATTCTGGTAGAATTTGACTTCTCTGTACCTGAAGCACCTTCTTCAAGTGATAGCCAGTATACCTCATTCTCTTGCTTTTTCTCCAGCCTCAATGGATTCCCATTTGCTTTCCCATTCCCTCCTTTTCTTCCCAGCTTCCTAAAGTCAGACACCCCAGGGTTCGAACCTAGGTGGTCTTCTCCCTATAGATCCCCTTCTTTAATGGTTTCATCTAGTTCTTTAACTTTTAGATACTAAAATGCTGATGTATGCCAAATAGATCTCTGCTTTTCGCTTATTTGACATCTCTACTTGCACATTTAAAAAGACATCTTAACATATCACAAATTGAATTTACTGTTTCTGCCTTACTTGAGTGATGACAATGCTTTGTGTGTGTGTGTGTGTGTGTGTGTGTGTGTGTGTGTGTGTGTGTGTGTGTGTTGCAGAACTGAGGTGTAGGCCAGAAGTAAGGGGGTGAGAGATAGGTTGGGGAGTAGAACAGATCTACTGAAATATACTGCTAAGGGGAGGAGCATATGAAAGTCTCCTATTGGATTAGCTCCCTGGCTGGGGATTGAATTGGTGGTTGGGTAGTAATGCTGAGACAACCTCTAGGCCACCAGGGGGGTCCCCAGCAACTCTTATCTTTCTAATGCTCTCTTCTGAAACTGCATTGGAAGAACCCTATCTGAACCCTGATCTTTTTTTTTTTTTTTTGGGGGGGGGCAGGATCTGTTGTACTTACCACTTAGCTGGTCTCTGTTTTAATCCTTATCCCCTGATAGTCAATTATCAGTTCACTGGCTAGGTTAATCCTGATAAAATTAAGTAAGATCATTTCACTCCTCTTTTTAAAATCCTTCAGTGACCCTCCATTTCACTCAGAGTAAAAGCCTTATTCCTTACGTGATCTGGCTTTTTGATCCCTCTAATTGCATTGTCTGGACCAGCTTGCTGTTCCTCAGAAAAGCCCCTCGTGCTGTACCCCACATCTGCCAGGGCTTTGGCTCTAATTCCTCTCCTTCAGAGGTCTTCGTGCTCATTTGCTCCCTCCATACCTTCTTGCTTCTCATTTTCTAGATGAAGAATATCTGGTTACCTATTTAATAACATTTTTGTAACGCCACCTTAACTCCTGTACTTCATTTTTTTAAATATTCCTATCATCTTTTAACTTATCAGCTAGGTGGTAAGTTATCTAAGTGATTGGTAAATATTTAGTCAATGAATGCATAGTTCTCTATACCATCATTCTGTTAAAAGCATTAAATAGTGAATAAAGTTTATGAATATTATTCAGTATTACCAGCTTGTAATAGTAAGGGAAGTTTGCAGCCTATTTTTGAAAGATTTTCTTTTAAAATTCTAAAACAAAATATTAACAATTAAAAGGATGTAGACCTCATTAATCTATGATGTTAAATTAAGTAAAATTTTATCTCCTATAATACATCTAGTAAGTAAATATATAACTTTTGAAGCAAGAATAATCTCTACTATTCTTTTGCTGTTTTACAGGTGTTAGTAACTATTTATAATTTAGCTTAATACACTACTATATAGAAATAATTTACCTTTAGAAAGTGTGTTTATTTTTCTTAATTTTTCAATCTTATATCAAAGACTATTTTGTCTTTTTCTCATATCTACAATTTTATGCATTGCTAACTTTAAACTTACATTTTTTGAAATTATCCTTAGTTTTTAACAAATGACAGGGTAAATCTGGTTTAGGGAGCCAGAATTGGTCTAGAGAAAAAGCAATTAGAGATCTGAGCCTGGTGATAACAACCGTATTGACCTTCCAGAATTCGCTAAGATGTTAAGTATGAAATGAGAAGACAAGCATGAAAACCTGAAGAGGTTAAAAATTGCTACAGAAATGTATCAACAGCTTATAAATACATATCATGTCAGATTTTGACTATTTAGAATTCAGTTTAATGGACTATGAAAATAAGGGCTGCTGAGGAATAAATGAAAATAGTGATCTACAGCTAACATAACTGAAGATAACATTGCTTCAAGGAATTTATTTCCATTTAAAAAACTATATTGAAGTAGTTTCCACTCAAGGTTTTACATGTTCTAAACTATTAAATGACAATTATCAACCTTTTGTTCTTCAGAAAAATGTTTACTTTGGTTTGGAAATTTGCTTTTCTAGGCACTTGGCTTTTCTTTTTAAATTTTATTTATTGAGAAGTGATTTTTAATTAAAAAACTAGAGTATTTTGGTAGTGAAGAATTATCCATAATTGTCAAAACTCTAGAAAGGTCTGTATGTGAGCACCTATAAAATTAGAACTTTCTGTGGCTGAATTGTCATGTATGATATGTCATGCATCTTAAGTCATAGAACATATTTTAACTCGCTGTCCTTCCCTTACAGGAAGATACGTTTCAGCAGTATGTGAGACCAGAGATTAACACACAACTTTCCGATTTCTGCATCAATCTAACTGGGATTACTCAGGTTATAATTCTCTGTTCTTTTTTCTGGGGTATGAAAGAGTTTTTAAAGTAGGGATTAATTTGCTAGTTTAAAAAGATTAGTAGAAAATGTAAAATAATGTGATACTTTCCTTGCTTGGTAAAGATCTTTTGTATTGTGATAACTAAAAAGTAAAAAAGCAAACTAGTCTGTTATGACAGAAGGCAAGCCATGGTTAACTCTGGGATTGCTAAGGGGCAGAAGAACACTTTTTGGGGCTGATAGATATTTTCAACATCATGATTATGAAGATGGTATATGCAAACAAAAATTTACCAGACTTGTACACCTCAGACATGTTCAATTTATTGTACACAAGTTATGTACCAACAGAGTAGTTTTTAAAAACGAAAAAAGAAAAAGCAGATTTTAGATCTGGTAAAATTTTTCTAAGACTTTTTTTTTTTTTTTTTTTTTAAGATTTATTTATACATACAGAACTGGGACATAGGCCAGAGGTGCAGGGGCAGTGAGAGGATTCACATAGTCAGAGTGGGGAGCAGAACAGGCAGATTAATGATATACCCTGCTGAGGGGAGCAGCAGGCGAGTCAGAAGATCCATCTGCTATGACATGTGGATCAGCTCTGTGGTGGGGATCAAACTTGCACCTAAGCAGCTGTGGCCAGCTTGCAATGCTGCGCTTTTAACCGCTGTGCCCACAGGGAGGGCCAGACTTTCCTTTTTAAGGGGTTGTAATGAATCTGAATATTTCATTTGTAGGCATCCCTGGTACCTAGGGCATTAGTAGCAAAACTGTTACCATGAAGGCCTGAGTTTGATCCCTGGCCTGGGAGCTAAGCTAACCCATATATGGCACAACAGACCTCTCTTGTCTTACCTGCTGTTTCCCTCAGTAGTATATTTCAGTAGATCTGCCTGTTCTGCTCCCTACTCTGGTGAATCCTCCTATCTCCTTCATCTCTGGCCTATACCCCAGAAATAAATAAGAATAAATAAATGCAAAAATAAAAGAAATTCCTAAAAATAGATAAAACATTTTATTTGCGTGTAGCACTAGTAAAGTAAGTACTACCATGCTGAACTTGAAGATAAATTTACTAAGTTTCTATTACAATTTGACTTTTTAAGTATGTTATTTTTTTTTAGTCTCTGATTTTTGGTTATATTCTAATGAGGTAGTAGACCCTTTGTTCATTTACATAGTTGTTTTACTCCATCATTCACTCACTTAATGACTATGTAAATAGAAACTATAATATTTGTCAAGGTATTAAGAGATATAAAAATAGTCAAGTTAGTGTTTATGTCTTTTGTTCTCAGTCTTAAGTTAGGACAGACAGAATAATGACTAGAAAGTCAATGTTTATCTCAGGCTGTTATGGGTATCTGTAAAAGGGACTTCTGTAACAGAAGGAATGGAAAGGCTGTCCTGGAAAAAAGTGTTCAAGTTGGTGGCCTTGGCCTGGTAGGTAAGTTGACAGAAAAGAATGGCTGGGCATTTTAGTTATGAACAGCAGAATTCGGAATGGTTCAAATATGTATGGACTGTTAAGAAAGTGGTCACAGATAAAGCAGAGTGATAGACAGAAGCAAGCCAGATTGTGAATAGTCTGGTGTATCTTTATCCTGAAAGCCTTGGAAGTGTTTGAAGAATTTTAGGTATGAAAGTGATACGTTAGATTAACATTAGAGGAAGATCAGTGTGGCAGTAGTGTGTAGTAAGTGTAGAAAGATGTGAGCTTTGAGATTAGGGAGCCACCTTATGGAAGTGTGACTTTCAGCTGATAGAAATTTCCCTTTTTGTCTCTGGACAATTAGGCACTAGAACAGAGACTTAAAAAAAGGACCCCCTGGGGCCTCCTCTCTCTCCCGCCCTCCCATCCCCACAAAAGAGCCAGTCATCCAAATTGTTTTTTAAATTATAGACTTGACTCACAACATGAGAAAACTTAATAAGGAAAAAAAATTACTTTGTGATAATGAAGATTAAAAAAGAGGAAGAGAGAGCACTAGAGATTATCTTAAGTCTAAGTTTGGGAGGATTACATATTTCAGTTGATATTAGTCTCTAATACTTGGCTATAAATAATTTTTAATTGCCTTAAAAATGAAATGTAAAGTGAATCTCAGACAAGGAAAGCATAAAGAACATAAAACATCACAGATAAAACTTCACGGTTGTTTTCCCTCGAATGTCTGGTTATTTTATTGGACTCTATGTAACTGCCCAGATTTTTAAATATATTTTGCTTTCATATCTTCAGGATCAGGTGGACAGAGCTGATACCTTCCCACAGGTACTAAAAAAAGTAATTGACTGGATGAAATTAAAGGAGTTAGGAACAAAGTATAAGTATTCCATATTGACAGATGGGTAAGTAGGAAAGTTATCTTTTTCAATCTTTTTTTTTTTTAAAGATTAAAGATCTTTTCACTTAACTTTCAGAATTCCACAAAAGGCATTATTTACTAACAGCATTAGAGTTCCTGCAGAAGACATTATTTTTCTGTTCTTAATTTCTAGTTTAATGTTGAATTCTAAGGATTAAACAGGAAAAAGAACAATGATAAATTTAATCCAAGTCTAGGGAGTTAAGAGAAATATAACAATATATAAAGCAACTTTACTAAAACTTTTATGACTCTCCTAGCTGAGAAAAATCCCCTGTGTACTTAATCATACTTTCCTCTCCACTGGAAGGCTCTCTTTCTTGACTGTTCAAAGCCCACCTTGTGTTTTACTCCAGATACTCCAACTTACGGTGATCTGTTTTTCTTGAAGCCTTACAGCTGCTATGATATGTGCCATTTATGTTGGCTTCTGATAAATACTCTGATATTTAAGCTGTATTTATGTTAGCAAGGATTTAAAAATCTATTGAAAGATTCTTTTGCTACTTAACCTTCCGTGTTATCGTGTGTTGTATATATATTATATTGTCTTCACATAAAATTGTTTACTTGTAGTGCTAAACTCAAAGTATGACAAAAAGCATTTGTTAAGTAAAAAGTTAAGTGGGAAGATTGGAAAGGTTAAAACAAGTGTTACCAGCATCGTGCCAAGTCAGCACGTATACTATAATGTAATTAAGGTCGAAGAAAAGACCTAATCAGCTTCTGTTTCAAACTCCAGAGAGCTTGTACACTAAAGTTGTGATGTCACCAACATAAAGGGTATAGAGCCCTGCAGGCAGTAGGAAAAAGAACACTGAATTTAATCGCATAGTAATTGTGTTAAAAACAGAAGTTTTGGGAAATGTTTAGAAATCTATTACTGTTTTTAAACATGAATGAGCAGAACACAATGTTTGGATCTGGGCAGATCCTTTAGAACCTGTGCACTTTCACATTAACACAAGTTGACTAGTGTTACAGAAACATGCCATAGTAAGCAAATTGCACATTAACTACTTGAAGGCAACTACTTTTGTCTCTTTCACCTATTTTGCTTCGTTGTTTTTTGGCTGACTTAATAGCACCCTCGCAAAAACTGCCATGTGATAAACCTGACACTGAAAGTAAACTTAACAATTAATTTAGAATTATGACCATGTATCACACAAGATAGAGGTCTGCCCAGGTAAACAGAACATAAAAATGATCAAAATGACACAAGTGAGGATATTTGGGGGGAAATGAACCTAATAAAACTAAGTAAAAGCAGATTTAATATACCTAACCTGTTCTTTGTTTCTCTTTTTTAACGTTAACTTCTCAATTAGTATTTTTGAAGAAAGGAGGTTAATTTTCTAAGCATGATGTTATATGTTAACATCAGACAGGTGATGTGTAAATAAAAAGCAAATAGTTAAAGTATTCATTTGTAAGAACAGTGTATTTATTTGTTTTCCTGTTTTTGATTTATAAGTTCATGGGATATGAGTAAATTCCTGAATATTCAGTGCCGGCTAAGTAGACTCAAATATCCTCCTTTTGCTAAAAAATGGATCAATATTCGAAAGTCATATGGAAACTTTTACAAGGTAAAATTTCTTTATTATACTACTATCGATAAATTTATTGTATTTTTCATGTATGTTTTGTTATGATTTACTAAGTATTTTTCACCGAAAAGGGCCATGTAATTAGTTGTTAGTTTCCAGATTCCAAATTTGTAAATGATCTTACGAGTTTAGGAACAAAAGGTGTATTTCTCATTTAACTTGTTACCATTATTCAAATAGATTACTTCATATATGTGATCTTTAGTAACAGGTTTGAAGCTCTAGGGGTATTCAGTGTATGGATTATTTGGGGTAAGATGCTCCTTTTTATCAAAATTGATTATTGTACATTTAAAAAATAATATTGCAAGACTTTTTTATCATGACCCTCACCAGTATTACACTCTAGTTTTGTGAGAGGAAAAAACTCTCACTTTTTTAAAACTGTTTTTTCCCTAATATTAATCTTTTTTTTTTTTTTTTGTGCATAGAATAACTAGGGTGTAGGCCACAGGTATGGGGGGCTGTGAGAGGATTCACCAAGACAGAGTGGGGGACAGAATAGGTAGGTTTACTGAAGTACACTGCTGAGCGGAGCAGGTGACGAGACAGGAGAAGTCTGCTGCACCCTATGTGGGTCACCTCCTTGGCTAGGGATCAAACTCAGGCCATAGTGATGATAGCTCTGAGACTTACCCCATAGACTACCAGGGAAGCCCCATGTTTCTTAAATGTTTATACTATTTCTTGATATATTTACTTAGTTATATATCATATTTCTTGTTACTTAACTTAGTTTGAGATAGCTGTTGAGTTCCAAATATCAGAGATGGGGAGAGTATTCGAATTTTGGGATGTGTAAGATTAAAAAAGTGATTAGTTAAATAGGTTGATAATGCCATCCAATATCATCTTTAATTCTTTATCTTTATTGCCTTTAGTTACTTAGGAAGGCTAAAATTTTGTGAGTCTCAGAAGTCAGTCAAATAATCAGTCAAGTAAAATAAATACATCTCAGGAAAATAATCATGCAAAATAATTAAATCTCTGTTTAAAAGGTTAGACCTTCAATTTAGCTATCTATCCAGAACAACACATTCTTTTCCGTAAATAATTTATTAAGTCAGAAAGCTTTATAGTTGTCTTGAGGATTCTTTATACTGTCTATATTTTCATATAAAAAATTTTTAATTTTAAGATAATTTTTTAAACTGAAGGCTTATTTGCTTCATTTGAAAAAGAATTTTTGCCTTTTGCCTAATTTTGTTAAAGCTATAACTGTTGATTTTCAATGTATTGTATTTACAGTAAATACTGTAACTTTTATAGTAACCTTTTACATCCTGAAAATTTATTTACTAAACTATTTTTCAGGTTCCTAGAAGTCAAACCAAACTGACCATCATGCTTGAAAAACTAGGCATGGATTATGATGGACGGCCTCACAGTGGTCTTGATGACTCCAAGAACATTGCAAGAATAGCAGTCAGAATGCTTCAGGATGGATGTGAACTTCGCATTAATGAGAAAATGCATGCGGGACAGCTAATGAGTGTGTCCTCTTCGTTGCCACTAGAGGGCACTCCAGCTCCACAAATGCCGCATTCTAGGACATAATAGCATTTTTGCTCTTTTACTCTTGGATCGTTCACTCAAACTGGAGTTGCTACAAAGAGATAGCAGATGAATACTTATTGAATTAGTCCTGCAGCGCAAGATTCAAGCACCTTAAATACTTAGAATCTTTACAGTTATAGATATATATGTGTGTATATGAACAGATTTTGTAGGGAGGGCATGTTGAATTCTTTGCCACCAGCACTTTTGATATGAACAGTATTGGTTACACAGTAAGAGTTCCTGCTTAGAACTGAGTTCTTTATTTTAAGGTATCCAAGGTGTGTTCTCTCTGGTTTTAAAATACAAAGGCTTGTTGGTGCACTCCTTGAATGTCCTATCTAATTAATCTTAGAATACATAATTAATTCTTCGTTAACATCAGTAGATAAAATCACATTTTGAAATGTACAAAAGATTGGAAGGTGGGTCTTTACTAGTTTTTGGTTTTAAGAACTTTATAGTGCTTTTCAGTTTTGAAGTTTGTGACGTTCAGCTATGTGTTATGAATTTCATGAAGTGCTTGGCACACTCACTCATCTACCACATTTCTTTTCAGTTCATAATTGGAAGACTTGTGATAAATTTATTGGGTCTAATTAAAAATTCAGTTGCTGATGAAATTAAGGAAAAATCAGAAGAAAATTTACCTTTTAAAGGACTCTTCAAGAGCTATAATTGGAACTTACAGTACACAGATAAACCAGTGGGTTTACTTTGGACTTGACTTTTGGGTTCCCCTCCCTCTTGTGACATAGATCTGCCCAAATTCTTAGATCTGAGAGATCATGCTTTGAAATAGACTTCAAATTAAGGGTCATCATTTAATTTTGCATTTGTAGAGAAGATGATGAGTGAAAGTGAAATGTTTTCTACCTTACGTTTTTATTACTGAAAACTGATTTCACATAGTCCGTGGCTACTAATGTTAAATATTTAATTCTTAACTTATTCTAAAAACAAAAGTGCTTACAGAGTTGAGAAAGTAAAACTCTTCTTTATCTCAAAGCTAAAAATACATATTTTCAGAATTGAATTTCCCTTGCAGCTTTCAAGGTACAATTTCATTAACATTGTTCCTTTGCCTTACTTTCTGATAATAATTATGATGCTGCTTTATTTTAATGATTTATGTATTATAATCACATGAATTTTATAAAGGTCTTCTAACTGATGCATAGGAGAAAAGTGGTTTTTTTTTTTGTTTGTGTTTTAGTTTGAGTTGAGTTGTGGTTTCTTGCTTGAAGGAATGAATTTCTGCCTTTGAGTAGCAGTCATAGAATCAGTATAATAACTAATAATTGGACAAAGACAACCTGATATGGATTATAATAAAACAGGAGAGCTAAGTATTTTAGGATTTAGAATAGAATTGGGTATATGCTGAGATTTTCATGAATTCAAAATACCCCCATATAAATTTTCCATAAATTGTTGCTGAAAGTTTTAACATTATTCAGGTACTTAATGAATTACTGTGCCAGGGCAAAGGAATAGAAAATAGCAAATTGCTCTGCAGATGTGGCCTCTGGGTTCCCTAGGCAACTCTTTAGGGGGCTTTCCACATAATCACCTTACTAGAGAATTTAAGTTTGTGCTGTGCAAAACTGATTTCATCAGTTTCCAGAGTTGCTTATCAATGGCCAAAACTATAATTGGGAAGTCTGAGAATGGCAAAGGAATCTTGCATTGTCCTTTTTTGTTTCTAAGTCAAGCTGCTAATTCTTTGCCTATATTCTTTTTGCCAAATATCCCAAGTACCATCAAGCTCATTTTGTACTTTTTTAGACTTTCAGTGTTAGCTCTTACTACCCTTTTTGCTTAACCAAATATTTTATCTAGTGAAGCTTTATAGCCCTAATTTTTAAAATTTATTGAGGAATAATTGACAAACACAGTTAAATATATTTAAAGTGTAAATGTGATGATTTCCTAAATATCTACAGATTGATTACCAAGTTTAACATAATTAACACACCCATTACCTCATATAGTTAACTTGTTTTTCTTTTTGGTAGTGAGAATGCCTAATTAATTTATTCTCAGCATCTTTCAAGTATACAAAATCTTATTATTAACTATAGTCATTATTTTTTGTATTCTTTGTATTAGATTCTTTTCTTGTAATTGAGAATTTCTACCCTTTGACCTATATCACCCTGTTTCCACTATCAGACCTTGGCAACCAACAGTTTTCTGTTTCTGTGAAATTGGCTCTTTTGTTTGTGTGTATCACTTCTACATGTAAGTGATACTATATAGTATTTGTCTTTCTCCATCTGGCTTACTTCACTTAGCACTCTAGATTTATCCAACATTGTTATCGATAGGGTTTCTTTTATATGGCTGAGTAATATTCCATTATGCATATGTATATACTATTTTTATTTTTTCAAGTTTTTAAATTTTCTCTTAATAGAAGTGTGTTTAATTACAGCATATTTGTAAATTTTCAGTCTTCTGTAAATGATTCTGGTTTCATACCATAGTATGAAGAAGAGAGACTTGATGTTTTTTCAGTCTTAAATTTGTTAAGACTTATTTTGTTACCTAACATGATCTATCCTGAAGAATATTCACTGTGTGCTTAAAAAAAATGTATATTCTGCTGCTGTTAAAAGGAATGTTCTGTATGTATATACTAGTTGGGTTCTGTTTGGTTTAAAACACCATTCAAGCTTATTTCTTTATTGATTTTCTATCTAGGTGATTTGTTGTTGAAAGTAGAGTGTATAAAGTTACCTACAGTTAATTGTATCACTGTTTTGTCTTCAGTTCTTTTAATAATTGTTTAGTATACATAGGTGTTCCAATATTGGGTATGTATATATTTACAATTGTTAATATCCTCTTGATAAATTGATTGCTTTATCATTATATAATGACTTTGTCTTCTTATTACTGCTGTTGAGGCCATCTGTTTTGTGTGATAGAAGTATAGCTATCCTTGCTCTCTTTAATCACTTAGACTTTTTTCATCCCTTCCCTTTTTCATACCTTTTTTCATCCAGCCTGTGAATGTCTCTAAAGCTTGGGGGAATGAAAGGTTTTCTAGGCAGTATATATGGCACATATACTAAGTGGTATAGCAGATACCACTTACATTCTGACAATTGTGTTGTTAGTTGATTTCATTATTGCGTAACTGTTACCCAAACCTAGAAAGGTAAGCCTACCAAGGCTGTATGGTATAGTCTGTTGGGACCACTGTCATATATGTAGTGCATCATTGATTGAAATGTTACATGACACTTGTCTGTTCTTGGGTCTTGTTTATTTTTGCCCCCAACCACTGCATGTCTTAATTGGAGAATTTAAAACAGTCACATTTAGAATAATTGTTGATAGGTAAGGACTTCCTGTCTCCACTTTGTTAATTGCTTTCTGACTGTTTGGTAGTTCCCTTTATTCTGTCTTTGTGAGTTGATTTTTTGTAGAGGTATGCTTTGATTCTTTTCTCTTACATCATTTGTGTAACTACTTTATGTCTTTGCTCTGTGGTTGCCATGAGGTTTTCATATTCATTTTATGTTTTTTTTTTAAGACTTATTTATTCATTCATATAGAACTGGGGTACAGGCCAGAGATGTGGAGGGTGAGAGGATTCACCAGAGACAGAGCAGGGAGCAGAACAGGCAGATCGATAAAATATACTGCTGAGGGGAGCAGCGGGTAGGTCAGGAGAGGTCTGCCTCGCCATGTGGAACTCCTCCGGGGCAGGCGGGAATCGAACTCATGCAGAAGTGGCTTAAGCTTCTTAGTGCTGTGCTTTAACCCGCTGTGCCACCAGGGAGTTTTATGTTTTATGTTAAGTAATTTTATGTTTTAAGTCTATTTTAAGCAAGCTGATAACTTCAATTCCATTAAAGTTCTACATATTTATTTGTGTGCCTTAGACTTTGTTATGGACATCCCAATTTACAGCTTTTTACATTATATATCTGCTAATGAATTACTGTAGCTGTGTTTATTTTGAGCATTTTAGTCTTTTAACCTATATGCCAGAGGTCAAAGTGATTTACATGCTATCATCATTGCAGAGAGTATTTTGAATTTAAATATTTATCTTTGCCAATGAATTTTATACTTTCAATACATATTCATGTTACCAATGAACATCTTATCAACTTGAAGAGCTTCCATTAGCATTTCCTGTAAAGCCAGTCTAATAGTGATAAATTTTCTTTTCTTTTTCTGGTCTGGAAAAGTATCTCTGAAGGTCAGTTTTGCTGGGTAGAGTTGACAGGTTTTCATCTTTGAGCACTTCAAATACACAGTCATTAGGTGATTTTGTTGTGCTAATGTCAGATGCTCTTTGGGTGCTATAACTTGCTATTTTAAGCAAGCTGATAACAACTTCAGTTCCATTAAAGTTCTACACATTTACTTCTGTACCTCAGACTTTGTTATTGACATCCCAATTTACATCTTTTTACATTATATATCTGTTAATGAGCTACCTAGAACACACCTAGGCTGGAGGATAGTACCTATCAGGACTACCTATGTATACATGATCTGTCATTGACTGAAGTGTCTTTAAGGGATGTATGACTGTATTGTCCCATTCTATCCTGGTCAGCAAGTTTCTGCTAAGAAATCTGCATATCGATGGCCTAATCAGGATTACCTTGTATGTGATTAGTCTTTTTTTCTCTTGTTCCGTTCACAATCCCCTCTTTCTTTGATTTTTGAGATTTTGATTTTAATGTGTTTTGGTAAAGATCTATTTTTATTGAGTCTTTGAAATGTATGTATCTGTGGATAACCATTTTTCTCTAGAATTGGGAGGTGTCCAGCCATTATATCCTTAAATAAGGTTTCTGTTGCTCTCTATCCAGTCTTCTCCTGGGACTCCCCTAATGTGAATATTCTTTTCACTGGATGGTAGCACATGATTCATGGATACTTCCTTCATTGTTTCATTCTGATTTCTTTTGTTTCCTGAGTAATAGCAAGTGATCTGTCTTCAAGTTCATAACTTATTCTGCCTAATTAAGTTTGCTGTTGAAACTTGCATTTTTCATTTCAATCATTACCTTCTTCATTGTTTCTATTTGGTTATTTTTTATGATTTCTGTCTCTGTTGAACTTCTCATTTTGTTTCTGTGTTGTTTTATTGAGTTCACTGAGTTTGTGTCTTTGCATGTCCCTGGGTTTCCCTAAAATGATTGTTTTGAATTCTTTTCAGGAAACTTACAGACCTTCATTTCTTTTGGGGGGGGGGAGTGGCTGGAGTGTTGTGTTCCTTTGGTGGTGTCATTTTTGTTTGTTTTGCATGTTTCTGATGTCTTGCATTTATATCATCATGTCTAAAAGGGCAGTTACCACTTAGGGCCTGTTGGGCTTGGCTTCATTGGAAAAAAAGACTTTTCCCTGAAATTGACTGTGAGAACATTGACTGGATGGGATGTAACATCTTTGGTTCCCGAGAGGATACAGGGGGTCATCACTGGCCAAGAATGTGTGGTCACAGTGATGATTGGGGTGCATGGGATCGCCAGAGGCAGGATCGCCCTGGTCTTCCTGTTCTACTTTTTTTGCCCATGGGAGGAAGTTCTGGCTAAGGGCATTACTCTGACTGTTGGTCTGGCATGCTGACACTGAGATGTAGTGAAATGGGATCCTGGATCAGGTACATGTGAAATTATCACAATGCTTGCATTCCTGGGCATATACTACTTGCAAATCAGTGGCACTGGTGTCTAAGTTGTGTATACATAGCCTGTGGAACCAGAATTTAGGTTTCTGTGGCTGGTCACAGTGATTCAGACCCATGGGAGCAGAGAGATGCAGCAGTAACACAGGCCCCAGGACGGTAGGATGCCGTGGTCACGTGTGCCCGGAGAGGAGAGTGCAGTGGCTGCTTTGCCTGGGGATAGCGAGTCAACCTCAACTCTGGCCCCAGATGACTGTATCAGAGTGTAGCACATTCCTGGTGGTAGCCTGTTAAAGCTATGTGTTGGGAATCCAAGGGGTATTTGGCAAAACAGCCACAGCTTGACCCAACTATAAGTCATGTCTGGAACCAGGGTTGAGGCTCAGAACAATGGCAGAACAGCCCTCATAATAGTAGTCAAGCATAACTTGGAACCCAGGTGACACAACTCAGAGCAGTGACAGATGCCAGTAATGGTGGGCTGATTTGCAACCTAGCATGGGCCGGGCACAGAGCAGCGGCAGTAGTGGGGCCTGCAGCTTCTGGGTCTCAGAGAACAGGCAAGGCAGTGCCAGGAGCCAGGTCTTGGCACACTGGTAGCCCCAGCCTGAGTGGGAATGAGAACAGTGGAGCCGGGCAGCGCTGTCAGTGGTGTTGGCACTGGGGGAGATTGTGCAGGCAGTCCTTGGTAGCAAAAGCTCCACAGAGCAAGGCTTGCTGGGTTTCTGTTCTTTTTCCCATTGGGTGAAATACCTATGAGGGGATCCCTCCTGAACCTTAGCTGCGCTTGACTGGAAAATGACATGACTGGCAAAGTGTTGCTGTGCTTTTCTCCATGGCCACCTTTAATTTTTGAGCTCTGCAGCATTTTTCCTACTTACTGGTAATCTAGAGCTTTTCTTTTCTTTTCTTTTCTTTTTATTTGTAGTTACTGTTTTGTTGTGGGGCAGGAGAGGGGATGAGCATTGGTATCTCTTAACCCTCCATTTGCTGATGCCACTCTCCTAAAGATTTGTAATAGCTCTGCTGAGTCTTTAACTTCCCCTCCAGTTTGCTATTCCTTTTGTCAAACCAACTTTTTTTTTTAAAGATTTATTTATTTGTACATACAGAACTGGGGTACAGGCCAGAGGTTCAGGGGTGGCGAGAGGCTTCACCAGAGACAAAGTGGGGAGCAGAACAGGCAGATCGACAAGGTACACTGCTGAGGGGAGCAGCGGGCAGGTCAGTAGAGGTCTGCCGGGCCATGTGGTCACCTCCAGGGCAGGCAGGAATCGAACTCATGCGGAAGTGGCTTTAGCTTCTCAGTGCAGTGCTTTTTGTCAAACCAACTTTTATTTTGCACAGGCCATTGCATGTCCATTATACGTTTTTAATGAGATCATCTTAAAACACTGGAATACTGGTTTTTACTGTTTTGATGTGTTCTGTTATCTTCAAGAAATTAACGCTACAAATTTTTATGAGGAAAGTGCTTAGAAAACATTTCATTCAACATTCAGGAAAACCAACAAATTACTAATGTTTTCTTACCGTTTTTAAATTAATACTGTATAATATGTACTGCATATTATGACATTAATATTTATTAATCATTTTCAAGCAACTTTTTTCCCTTAGTTATTAGTTATTTAATTTATTTACTTTCCACCTTCACCTCTTAGAACCTATTGAATTGGACTAGGTTTCTTTTGTAATTATTTCAGATCTACAATATTTAGAAACAGTTATAATATGTACTAAGCACTGTATTTTGTCCATGTTTTATTTGTTTTGTAATCTTGTGGATAAAATTCAAAACATTTCAAAACATTTACTATGAAGAAATTTTTTTTTTGGTAAAGATTTATGTATTTGTGCATACAGAGCTGGGGTACAGGCCAGAGGTGCAGGGGCGGTGAGAGGATTCACCAGAGACAGAGTGGGGAGCAGAATAGGCCGAATGACTAAGTACACTGCTGAGGGGAGCAGCGGGCAGGCAGGGAGAGGTCTGCTACAACATGTGGGTCACCTCAGGGGCCAGGGATGGAACTTGTGCTGAAGTGGCTTTAGCTTCTCAGTGCTGCATTTATCCGTTGCGCCACCAGGGAGATCCCACTGTGAAGAAATTTTACTGAAGTGTCTTCCCCCTCTAACCC